GTCCTGGAGATGGAGCGTTTAGACTACATCCACCACAATGAGACGGTGTCCCAGCAGATTGGGCAGGACCTGTACTACGCAGCACCACTGTCCATCTGGTGGCAGATCCCTCAGTACCTGCTCATCGGGATCAGTGAGATTTTTGCCAGCATCCCAGGTATGCTGGATGCCCGCCCTGCTCTCACACCAGTGACGGGCTATGCCTGGTGGTGCCTGGAAGTCAGGGGTCTCACAGGCACAGCCTCCAAGGGCTCATCATCGGGCCGGAAGTCACTGTTTTTTGAGCTGGACTGCTTTCATCCAATGGGCATCTATTAGCACTGCAATACGCACTGAAGGTTTGGAGGTGAATAAGACACTTTCACACTAACTTTCCACATAGTCTCCCCAGTGCCATGTTCCCCGTCCTCTATGCCTTTGCAGTTGCTGTTCCTTCTGCCTTAGACAGAAGGTGAACTCCTATTTACCCTTCAATGCCATCTCTTCTCCAAGGCCCCGGGAGGAGGGTGCTCCTTCACCTTCCCTTGTTCATCTCTGTAGCACTGCACACAGGCCTCGGTGTTGTAATAATGCATTTGTATGTCGGTCTCCCCCACTGCGCTGTGAGCTAGAGCTGCAAGGCTGGGGCAGGCTCTGCAGTCAGCAAAGGAGCTGGGCTCACGCAGCCGCAGCCCAGGCCTAGGCTCTGGTGGGACATAAAGAGAAAGCTGACCTAGTGCAAGCACTCAGCATAGGGGGGAAGAGACTCATGCCAACAGGAACCCAGCTGAGTGCTGTGACCAGAGAGCATTGCAGGAGCCCTTGGGCAAGGTGGGAGGGGGCACTGAGCTGGGCTTCAGAGAAGGCAGAACTCAGCAGGTGAGGAAGGACCTTACAGGCAGAGGGAACAGCATCAGCAAAGACCTAGAGGCATGCTCATGCATGCAAAGGCTGGAGGGAAGCCTGCTGGGAAGTGTGGAGGATAAGGCTGGGGAGGCAAGGGGGTGTGAGGTCACGCAGGGCCTTAGGAACTGAGCCTGGATGTTGGGATTTCTCCGGAGAGCAACAGGACCCCCAAGGGGTTTTTGGCAGTAAAAGGACCCCAACAGAGGCCCACCTGGCCACGTGAGGAGGAGGGCAGGAGACAGACAGGTTTAAGAGGATTTGCAGGGGCCAGGAAGGAAAAGACCAGGGCTGGGGTTTGGCTGGGGCAGTGAGGACAGAGAGGAGGGCATACATTTGGAAGAAGGTTTCTGAGGTTGAATCAAAATGGTTTGGTGATAACACTGGAGGTGGGCAGAGAGGGTGGGGGAGAGGGACACAGTGAAGATGGTGCCTGGGTAGAGTTACTGAAATGGGAACCCTGGAGGAGAGAAGAAAGACAGGCTCTTGGGGCAGCGTGCCAAGCGTCCAGGTGGAGGTGTTCAGCTAGGAGGTGGATGCCCAGGGCGGAGGTGAGAGTGTCCTGGTGCATGGTGTTGTCACAACCACGGGAGTGGATGGTCATCTAGGGAAGGGAGGATGGAGGCCTGGGTGGCTGGGTGGGCCTTTCTGCCCCTCCACCAGCCCCTCGGCCCCTCCCTCTCTGCAGGCCTGGAGTTCGCCTACTCAGAGGCCCCGCGTTCCATGCAGGCCGCCATCATAGGCATCTTCTTCTGCCTGTCCGGGGTGGGCTCGCTGCTGGGCTCCAGCCTGCTGTCCCTACTGTCCCTGCCGGGGGGCTGGCTACACTGCCCCGAAGACTTCGGTGAGTGTGGGGACTTGGAAATGAGGTGGCCACTGCTAAGCACTTTGGCCCTAAGTGGAATGATGCAGGGTGCTAGACTCAGAGAACAGGATTCTAGCCCACACTTGGCCACTTACCCACAGTATGGCTTCCCCTCCTTGCGCCTCAGTTTCCCCAACAGCCAAAAAGGAAGCATCAAACTCAATGGGCCTCCAAGGCTTGCTCCTGCTTCTGAAACTCTGCCATTCTGGCTGAAGGGTCACTTTTCCCTGCAATGTTTGTGTATCAAGAAAACCCCAAATGGATAGCTAGGTAGAGGGGAGCTACAGATATCCCAAGAGACACCTGGGGCAGCCAGATACTACAGCGGTATCTGCCCAGTGTCTTCAAACCCCACCTACTTCCCATGGGGCTAGGATGGGGGGTGGTATAAGGCAGGGGAGCCCTGCTCTGACCCCAGTGCCGACACTTCCTTTCACCAGGGAACATCAACAATTGCCGGATGGACTTCTACTTCTTCCTGCTGGCTGCAATCCAAGCTGCCACATTCTTCCTATTTCTCTGGATTGCTGGCCGCTATGAACGGGCAGCTCAGGGCACAGACAGCAGGAATAGGGGCTGAACATAACCCCACCCACACCCCGCCTCCCTCCGCCGGACACACAGAGCAGTGGCAGTCGCAGCTGTGATTTCCTTCTCGCTTTATTCTGTACCCAACAAAGAATGAAATGTTTCCCATAAATAAGGGGCGCGAGCCCTTCCTCACGACCATGGTCGAGGACAAGGGGCAGGGCACAGGGGGCCTAGGTGGTAGTCCTTGTGAGAGGACCAGGCAGGGGACTTGGATCAACAAGCACCAGAGGATGAGCAGGAGAGGCAGGCAGGAGGCTTGGGGGACCCTGCCTGCTGCCCGGGTGCTGGCCCTACATCAACCACAATGACGCTGGGCCAGGCAGTGGGGGTGGGGTCAGGAGCTGCCGCGAATCCTTTCCATATAGTTGCGCAGCTCCTCTGGGTCCTTCAGCCCCATGTCCTCACACACCCAGCGGATGTCCTCCTCGCCTGCTACCAAGATGGACTGCACAGCAGGGGCCCCTGTGGGCTCCTCAGGCAGCTGGGCTGGGGGGACTGGCGCAAATGTCACAAACTCGACACGCTTCCGCCGCCCCCCGGCTTCCTTTCGGGCCAGAGTGCTGGAAGAGCTGGTGGTGTCCCCGGCGGGGCCGGGGGCCAGGGCTGGGGCCTCTTCTCCTCCCCCGCTCTCGCAGGGACAGCCCCCCTCCCCCTTGGCCAGGCCAGGGGACCGCCGGTCCAGCTGGCGGCTCAGTTCCTCCTGGTCAGTGCCCAGCCAGACCCAGTTGTGGGGCTGAGGGGAGGCAGGGTCGGTGGCGCTGTCAGGAGGCTCCTTGCGCTGGTAGCGCAGCACGAAGACCATACCATTGACCAGGAAGATAAGGATGGCCAGACAAAAGATGCCCAGCAGGGCATACATGCCCAGCTCCAGATCGGTGACCCGCTGAGGGGCAGGTACCATCTCCTCCTCCTCCTCTTCCTCTTCCCTGGCCTCGGCCTCCTCCTTCCCAGCCTCCTCCTCTGCCCGCTCAAACTTGCCCCTCACACCCCCACTGCCCCCCACACTGCCTGCCACCCGCCGTCCACCACCCAAGCTGGCCTCCGTGGCCGGTGGGCTCTGGGCAGGGCTGGATGGGAGGGCAGGGGCTGGGGTGGGGGCAGGGGGCAGCCCCAGCCAGGCAGTGCCAGAGGCCAGGGGCACTCGGTGGCGGCCCCGGCGGCAGGGCTCAGCTGGGTGCAGAGCCACATGGAGGGGCAGACCCTCGGCACCCGCCCCACTCACCACCACCCCAAGCTGGGCACCCCGCTCCTCAGTTGGCAGGACAGCGCCGGGCTCCTCAGCCGAGACAGACAGTCCCAGGTCACTGCGGTCATAGAGCTCAGCGGGGGCCTGGGTGTGGTCTGAGAAGGACAGCCACAGGGAGAGGGCCACCTCCTGTGGGGCACACGGACACAGGCAGAGACATGCAAGGGCACACACACGCATGCACACAGAGACCACTCCCACAGAGACAGGCCACACAGAGAAGGAGAGACCAGAGAGACAACAGAGACACAGGCAGGTGGACACAACACAGGGAGAGAGGGGACCAGCGTCAATCACCTGTCTCCCACTCAGCCCCAGGGTGTGGGTCATCAGGAGGGTCCTCAGTTAGAGCCATCTAATCAACCTCCCACTGCCACACTCCAGCCAGCCACTGCTTGATCACCTCCAGCCACGGAGAGCTCACTACCTCACAGGGAAGTTAAGTCCTCATTCTGAAAATCCTAGGATGAGGGGTCGAGGTACCAGGGCTCCCTTCCTCCCATCCCCCTCTGCCATCAGCCCCCATCTGGAGACCGTGACCTCATCCCCCTGACCCCCAACTGTCACCTGCTTTGGGGCAGGGAGGGCTGACTGTGCCCAGCACGTGGCTGTGACCTCCCCGGGGTGGGCAGCACCCCAGCTCAGGGCCAGCGAGATGCCCATCACTGGCTGCACCCGCAGCTCCAGTACTGAGACCTTGTCATCCGTCACAGCCAGTGCCTGCTCCCCCAGGATGGAGTCAGACAGTGGGGAACGCACCTAAGAGTGGGAGGGAGGTGGAGGTGGGGGCCTTGTACACAAACAGCCTCTCCCTTCTGAGACCCCAGACCCCCACTCCCACAAAGGGATCTCGTTTGTTTCTGCTTCCAGCATCCTCACAGGCTGCTCTCCTCCACCCTTCACACCTCAACTACATGGCCTATACATACCTGGATCGCAGTCTCACACTTACGGGACAGGTCCCTCCTTTCTCAAGGCCCAGCCCCCACACGCCTTCGCCCAGCCTAAGCGAACTCCTCCATCACTGGGTTACCCCACTCTCACCCAATCCCCAATCCACTCTGCACACATCTAGACTACACACCTTCCCAGGTACACCCTGAGCCTCTCCTACACGCTTCACACCTGCCCATGCATTCTCGGGGCCACCTACATCCTTCTCAGTGGAGCTCCCCTCCAATGCCCCCGTCTGCTCACCTCGATGGAGGTGACGCCCGGCTCCCGGCCCACCAGGACGCTGCCGCCCTCCAGGGAGGCTATGCGCGGGTCCTGCACGCGGGCGTGCGGCGCCACAAGGTGGGACACGTCCAGCAACCAGTCAGGGCCAAGCAGGTGGGTGAGGCGGCGGCCGCCATCCAGCGGGTGCGCCGCGAAGTGGGCGAGGAAGCGCACACCGGCGCGCTGGTACTGCAAGCGGCAGCCGCGGGCGCGCCGTTCCGCTTCCTCCGCCCCACCGGCAGACTCGGGTTCCGCGGCCCTGTGGGGTAGGGGGTCAATGTTGGCCCTGCCCCTTCTCCAGCCAGCCAGCCGAGGGCCCCGCCCCTCCCCTGATCCTCGGCTTCTAACTGGCATACGCCACTGCCCATCAAGAGGCTCTGGGCTCCTGGTCATCAAAATCTACTGACTTGTGCACCTGTTGGGGTCAGGCTCTTCACCTGATGACTCCCCAGCCCTGTTCCTGATTGGTGCCTGAGCTTGTCTATCAAGCCGCTCTCGCCCTCCTCTGACTCCTAACTGGACCACTGTCAGTCAGAAGAAGGTCAAAGGGGCTTAGGCTCTCTGGTGATGTAGTGGTTATAGAGCTCTGGCTGCTAACCAAGAGGCTGGCAGTTTGAATCCACCAGCCGCTCCTTGGAAACCCTATAGGGCAATTCTACTCTATCGTATAGAGGCACTATGAGTTGATAACCGACTCGACTGCAACAGGTTTGGTTGTTTTGGGGAGGGGCCACGTGACCCTCGGGTTCTGGTGGGCGAGCCCTCAGAGTTTATTCAGTATTTATTGATTGAGGTGCCATCTTAGACTTTGAGGTTACAGCAGTGAACAGAATAACCAAAACCAAACTCGTTGCTCTCGAGACTCGTAGTGACCCCACGTATTACAGAATAGAACTGCTCCGTGGGGGTTTCTTGGCTGTAATCTCTATTGAAGCAGACTGCCAGGCCTTTCTTCTGCTGCACCACTGGGTGGGTTGGAACTGCCAACTTTAGGTTAATAGTCGAGCTCAAACAGGGACCAGTGAACAGAATAGAAAATAAAAACCCCCAAAATCCCTGCCTTCATGGAGTTTACATTCTCAGGGAGAAGGGAAGGGTACACAGACAACGAACAGAATTACTGCAGAGAGAAATGAGGCAGGGAAGGGGGCCAGGGAGTTTGGAGGTTGGCAGTTTCAAATAACATGGTCAGAGGCTTGGTGGTGAGGGGTAGTGACAGGCAGGAAGGAGCTGCAAGCAACTGGGCGATGTTTCCGGACCCACCTGGGGCCCACAGCTGTGTGCCCATGGCCTGCCAGCCTTCCCAGGCCTCCACTCACCCCTCAGTTGGGCCGGGGGCCCTCCAGCCGCGGACCTGCTCCAGGGTGGTATCGGTCAGCTCAATGTGCAGGGGCAGCAGCGGTGCCCACACCGTCAGCCGCAGTGAGGCCCGTAGCCGGCGCCACCAGAAGTCTACTCGAACCCCCCGAGCACCCCGGCTCTCCTTGCCAGCCACGAACACAGCATCACAGGTTTCAGACACCTGTGGGAAGGCAGAGAGCAGGGTGCAGGCTGAGCCATGGAGACAGGTGTGGGCCAGAGAAGGTGGCTCTGACACCAAGACATAAGATTGCATACAGCTGAAATCCAGTTCTGTATTTTGCTGTAAGGTGTGTCGTGGTGGCTTGTTGGTTAAACCACCGTCCTTAAAGAAGAATTCACCGTGCATTCAAGACCCACAGCCCCTGGAGAAACTGGGCCATTCTGTGAGTTCACCGGGGGCTCATGTGGGGAAACATACAGCAGAGTCTTCCTCCTGGCAGAGGAGGGGTTTGAACTCACAAATTTGGCTCTGCATTAGTGCTGGCCTCCGACAGTGTTGCTGGAGCCAGGGGGCAACCAGCTATAGACAGGTAGGCAGAGGCTGAGGGGCAAGGCAGAGGGACCTACCCATCCAAAGGCCCTCAGGTGAGAACCAGGTAGGAACCACATACCTGTGGGTAAGAAAAAACACCTTCTCCATTCGGGTGGCCGAGATGTGTGCAAATGCAGGCTCCCTGCTTCCCCTTCAGAACTTCAAAACCCAGGAAGTTGTTCTGCCCCTTTCTATCTCACAGGTCATTGTGAAGTTCCAATAATAATGATTTTATAATTATTGTATTATTATCCTAACAGCAGAATCTACCATTGTTTCTGCTGGATACCGTCCTAGATGCTTTTAATTCTTGCAACAACCATAAGACATATACCCATTTTATAGTGTAGGAAACTGAGGCTCAGAGAAGTTAAGAGACCCGCCCAAGATCACACAGCTAGTAGATAACAAAGACGGGTTTCAAACTGAAACCTTCTGATCCAAAAGCACATGCTCTTAACTCTCCGCATCAGCTCACATGCCAGTTCAATTTGTTGTTGCTGTTGTTGGGTGCCGTCAAGTCGACTGTGACTCAATGACCCCACATGTGCAGAGAACTGCTCCATAGGGTTTTCAACGCTGAGACCTTTTGGAAGCAGATCGCCAGGGCTGTCTTCCAAGGCACCACTGTGTGGGTCTGGACCACCAACCTTTTGGCTAGTTGAGTGCTTAACCATTTGCACCCTCCAAAGACCCCACCAATGCAACAATGAACATGAAAGTACCTTAGCTGCGTTCCCCTGTGAGGTTTCTGGCCTCAGGGAGAAGCAGTCCTCACAGGTGGGGAAGGAGGCAAGCTGGGGTACACCACTGTGCATGCAATATGCATACTCGTAGGGTTGGCATGTACCACTCACCTGCAGGACCTGTGTGTTGGCAGACTCACAGCCGATGTGCTCCGTCACCTCCACCAGGGCCCCCCCGCTGTCCACGGTGACAAGGCGCACAGGGACACGCCGGGGTATTCCGGTCAGTGGTGCAGTATTCACCAGCTCCTCTGCCTGGGGGTACAGGAGAAGCTCAGTCCCAAGACCCTCAGCTTGTGGGGCTCCTAACACTTGGCCCCCACCCGGCCAAGCAAAGGCAGGGGCTCCTTACCTTGGCCAGTGGGACAAGGGCTCTTATGTCCCGCTCCGACACCAGGATCTCCCATACCATTTTGTCCTTCTCTGCCTCGGGGGCCTGGCCGGGGTACTCCAGCTGCCAAGTGACGGGGCGAGTGACTGCCACGCCCCCACCAGTGCCATTCTCCACCGCAAAGTCCACCCACAGGAACTCGGACAGTTCAAGGGGTCTGCAGGCAGAGGAGAGAGGAACTGAGTGCTTGTGAGCAGCCAGGCGCTGCCCTCAGCACTCCATGTATTCATGAGTTAGGCACTAGAAGATTATCATTATACAGATGAGGAAACTAAGGTACAGGGTAATGTCACTCATCCAAGGTCCCACAGCAAGTATGTGGCTGGGCTGGGATCCAAACCCAAGCATCCCAGTTCTAGAGCCCAGGCCCTTACCCACTCTTGAGCTCTGTAAGATCCATGCAGCCATTTAACCACCTTCCAGAATGCTTCCTGGCTTCCCTTGCCTTCCCCGGCCCCCTCCACTCAGACAGCTGCTTTCCAGAGCCATTAGGGTGGCATAAAGCGCCTGATGTCAATTACCATCAAGAAGGAGGATTCGATTTCAAGTTGCAGGACTGGATGCTCAACCTTCTGAATAGTAACCCTCATTGCTTCCTTTGATCAAGTATGTACTACATGCCAGGACTCGTCCTGGGTGCTTGATATTCAGTATCTCATTTATTTTCACAAACCCTCAGTGATATGTTATTATTCCCATTTTACAAGTGAAAAAACTGAGGCTTGGGAGAAAGGGGGGTGGAGAAGGATGTTTACTGGCTTGACCAAGGTTATTCATCCAAAAACTGTCAGGACCAGGATTCAAGCAGGGGCTACAAAGCCCATGGCCTTGATACAGGCTCAGGGCATGAATAAGAAGAGTTCGTCAATGTTAAGAACTGTGGGGAAAGCTAGGCTTCTTTCTGAATTATAAAGGCTCAGAAAAAAAGGACCATGTGGTGGGGGTGGGGGCAGGAAAGTGGCTGTGAGGGCTCTGACTACATGGCCGGGATAGAATGGCATCACCTGGAATAAGACTCACAGAACCTCAAAGTGCCTGGCATGTGGCTGGGGTGGATAAACAGTGGCTGAATGAATGAGTGATACACCTGCCGTGTACGGCTTCCTTGAAAGAATCTGTTCTTGTCCCTGCTCACATGAGGAAACAGAGGCATCGCGGTGGCCCCCTTCCCTTGGGCCCCATAAACCTGCCCGCTAGCATTCTAGGACCTGGCCTCCCTCCTCTGCCCCTGGAAGGGGAGCTGCCCACCTGGAGTCTGGCCCTGAGGACCCAGTACGGTGGCAGGTGATGAGAGTGGTGTGGTGCTTTGAACTCTTGAAGCGGTCCAGCTTGGCAGTCCAGAGTGTGGGCTGGGTTGGGCGTGCGGCCATCACGTGCAGCCCCTTCTTCACCTTGATCCTAGGGGACAGGACATAAGTCCAGTGTGTCAAGGTGGGTACCAAGCCATGGGTTGGATCTGAAGGGGAAGACAAGGGACAGGGAGCCAAAGACTCCAGCCTCCTGTCTGGTCTCCTGGGCTCCCGTCTGAATCCCCTCCTCACCATCCTCCAAACTGCTCTCAGAAGGAGCTCACCTCAACACAGGTCATGCCATAGACTCTCCTACTCAAAGACCACTTATGACTCTCCACTGCCCACTGGTCAAGTCTTAGCCTGGCATCCAAGGCCCACCAGGGCCTGGCCCAGCCTTACCTGTGGCTGTGACGTCTCTCCTGCACATGTGGCTTCAACCACACCGAAAGTTCTTACCCCGTGCACAATGGCCACCCACGCCTCCAGGCCTTTGCTCAGGCCGCGCCTTCCAGCTGGTCTGCCCTTCCTTTCTTTACTGGCTCATTTTCAATCCTCCAACAACTCCAGTGCCATCTCCTTTAGAAAGCTTGTCCTGATTTTCCATGGCAGGGTGAATTTCCTCCATCCCAACCCCTACAGCCCTTCGTCAGAGCACATAGACCCACGTGACTTCCAACCTCGCTCATGCCCATCGGGACCCTGTCCCCACCCTGGGAGCTCCTTGCTGGCGAATGGGAACTGAGCCTGCTCCTCTTGGTATCTCCAGAGTGGAGACACAGGGCTTGGCGTATTGCAAGTGTCCAGGAAAGATCTGGTTAATGAGTGTGTGAGGGAGTGAGAGAGAGATGGGGACACAAGAAAGGCACCCACAAGACACACAGGGATGAGACACTCACTAACCCGCATATGGGAGAGGCAAGTCACACTCTGCTAATCCTGGCTAATGGGTTGGGCAGGGAGGCTACTGTAGGGAAAGGGATACAAAGAGGAGGGCCTTCTTGTGGGGAAGAACAGGTGTGCCCACAGGCTAGGGAGCTGGGGCAAGGGTGGCAAGCAGAGAACATGCACCTGAATGTAACTGGGGTAAATACCCGTCTCTGGGGCATTACAGCACTACCCACCCCCACCACCACCACACACACCAGGAACTGCTCTTTCCAGTTTCCAAGCCTTCCCTTTTTTCCCCTTTCTAGAGCCTACAAGCTGCCCTGGTTGCTCAGTAGTTAAGAGCTCGGCAGTTAACAAAAAGGTTGGTAGTTCAAACCCACCAGCCGCTCCTTGGAAACCCTACAGGGCAGCTCTGCCCTGTCCTATTGAGTTGCTATGAGTCAGAATCGACTCGACAGCAATGGGTTTTTTTTAGAACCTCGCAGCTGCCCTGTGAAGTGGGCAAATTTGCCCCGTTGGACAAAGGTGTCTCAGAGAGGGGTCTTTAAAGCTTGCGAGCAGTCATCCAAGCTATAACAATTGGTCTCTATTTGCCTGGAGCAGCAGAGGAAGGAGACCCAGGAAACGGAGAAGAAACTGGACTGCAGGTCTAACTGCCTCCATGGAGACCATGAGACCAGAAGAAAGGAATGGTGCCTGGCTACCATGACTGAATGTTTTGATCAAGGGATCAAATTCGTACAGAATCCAGACTTACTGGACCTATTGAGACTGGAGGAACCCCCAATCTATTGCTCTGAGAAAACCTTCAAATCATAAACCAAACTTATCCCCTGCAGCCATCTTTAAACATGTCTGGCAAAATTAGTAAAGAATGTTTGCCATGAGTATTGCATTCTTTTAAAGAATTATCTGTATGAGATCAAATTGTCAACAGTAACTCTAAAGCAGAGAGGAAAGTTTAGGGGTAGTGAGTCTAGGACAAGGGTGGTGAAACAATATGGGTAGAGAGGGAGAGAATGGTAATACAATGTGAAGAATGTAACCAATGTTACTGAATCATACATGCAAAAAGTGATGAACGGATGTATGTTCTGCTGTGTATATTTTCACCCAAAAAAAAAAAACTACTTCTAACTCCAAGTTCAAGGCTATGCCTATCACCGGTCATGCCTGCTGCCATGGCAAGCACAGCTCTTTCTCTGGAGAGGTTTTGGTGGACAGGAGTTTTACAGAAGTTTAGGGTTCCAACAAAGACCCCAAGAGGAGCAGGAACCAGCCCAGCCTTCC